CAGCCAACTTTATATTCCCTCCTTTTACTTCTAACAGTCTTAATCTTTAGTTCATCCAAATATTGTAGGATTTGATTTCTCTTCGTTTCTTCTTTGTCCCATCACATAGAATTCTTCAAGGCTTTAACAAACCTCTTTTCTAAATCCAGTAGGAAAAAATTATCCAGAATTATCCATTTTGAAATCATGAAATTGTTTATCTATGTTGTGTTTTGTAAAAACCAAAACAGGATCTATTTCGCATAAGAAGCTGTTTGTACTTTATAATTAAGTCCAAAATCTTATTGTAAAAGTTTTAATATTCCAATTTTATCTGGATCCTTCATCCATTTATAACTTTCTAAGATCAAATCTTATTTAGCTTTTTGCTGTTTATTTCAGATTCTTTAAATTCTTAAGCTTATAATTAAAGTTCTCTTTCATTCAAGATTAAAGACAGACTCACCCAGCGTTTTCAACCTTGTGATTCCCAAGTCTCTAATAGCTTAGAATCAAAATCTTATTTAGCTTTTTGCTGTTTATTTCAGATTCTTTAAATTCTTAAGCTTATAATTAAAGTTCTCTTTCATTCAAGATTAAAGACAGACTCACCCAGCGTTTTCAACCTTGTGATTCCCAAGTCTCTAATAGCTTAGAAGTAGTTAATGAGCAATTTCCAAAAATTGTGAGAAAGTGAGGTTTGTACACCTAGTGTCCTTTAAAAGTCTCCGCTGCGGTTGTGAGCAAGATAGCTAATCCTGTCATCTCCTGGGGCTCAATCCCATGGAAAACTGCTGCCCTGCAGTCTCCTTGCATGGAGCAGCCATCCAGAGCACATATGGGTAATCGCCTGTCCTCTCCTTATCCGGAGAGGTTCCAAGGAACTGGTTTACTCACCAGTTCCTTGGTCTTTGCCATAATTGTCAGCTCCACTTTCACAGAGCCATTTTTTAATTTATTTATTAAATTTATCCCCGCCCATCTCCCCCTAATGGGGGACTCTGGGCAGCTCACAACTCATTAAAACAATAAATACAAATACAATATATTTTCAGTTCACCATACCTCCCCCAGAAGCCCCAGCAATGAGATCACATTCAGAAGCAGCACAGGTTGACACATCTCTAATTCACTAGAGTATAAGAATGGAAAGAGCACAATCAGAGTTGCAAGATTGTTTTTACAGTCAGTCTCAATAAAAGTAGTTCTAACCTTCCAATGGAGTTGATTTCCTGGCCTGGTCTACTAAGTGAGGTTCACATCAATCTTGCAAGTCTCATACTCTCATTTAAGAGAGGTTGAAGATCTAGCCTTCATTAGTGAAGGTAGCTTCTGATCCTCAGGGCACTCCACTGTCTACTGAGCATCTTGCTATGGCGTTGTTACAACACTAACAGGCGGATTTACAAATAACTAACTTGCAAAATGCCATGATGCAACTAAGACAACAGTTGGGGCAGAATTTATCTCAGGCAGTAGCAGAGCAAACTGCAGCATAGCTGGTATTTCTATGTTCCCAGGGAAGCTTACCAGAGAGGTTTGGAGGAGATCAATACCTGATGCGTGAGCTGTTTATGGCAGGTTGATCAGCAGAATTTCCCACATATCAAACCAAAGTGACTTTCATCCTGACTTTGCTGAAACAAGAGGCCACACCTATCACTAAGGGCAACAACCCCAAGCTTGCATCAAAGCTTGATGCAAAGATTTAGTGGTGTCTTCCATGACACCAAGAGGTGCCTGAGAGCCAGCCATGAAATTTCACAAACTCAGGCAAGATCACTGTAGAATGCATATTGGATTTTAAATTATTTGCCAGAGACGTGCAATAGAATGATCTGGCTCTTAATGACCAATTTAAAGAATGACTTACTGACAAACTGAGATATGAATTGGTAAGACAAGGAACCTTAGTTAATTTGGAAGGGCTCTTCCGATGTTGCGTGGTAATAGATGGCTGACTGGAAGAGTTGAGGCAGGGGAGAATGGCAAAGGGAAGAGGTTTTACCACCTCTCTTTTCTCATGGCCTCCCTCCCAATAGACTCCTCAGAATCCAGCACTGAAGAATCCATACAAAGGAACCCATGGAGCAGTCAAAAAGTCTCTGTCATCAGAAGAGAAACAGAAAAAGAGGGAACTAGGTTTATGCTTTTACTGCGGAGCTCTTCAGCATATAGCCAGATCCTGCACAGCTAAAATTCAGGCCTGTAACTTAGTATGAAATTCTGCACCTTTAGATCTACAAGCCACATAGCAAGCAAGTGCCCAACTTGCTTCAAGGCTGTGACATTGGAAAACTTTGCAGGCCAGCATAAAGAGAATGTCCTTGATGGAGAGAGGGAAGATCTGTTACCAAGGGCATGAACAGATAAATGCTGCAGAAGCCCAGACAAGGAGGGAGAGGTCAGAAAGTACCTCAGACAGACACCCTCTGAATTCACATGAAGATAAAAGAGGAGCACATTCTGATTTGCAAGATTCTGTTACTATAGCCAAACTTTTATTAAAAGTAGTTTTAGGCAAACCTGGCGTCTCTTTCTTGGTCTGATCTATCTTGTAGGGCTGACAGCCCCTCTCCCAGGAGTGCCAAAGGGAGACACTCAGAGAATTAAGGAGAGCTCAGATGAACAATAGCAGGTGAACACATTTTATTGTTCCTGTTACTCTTTGTTTAGACTGAGGTCAGAAAATGCAACGTTCTGCTCTTGTAGACTTGGAAGCAGCCACTAATTTCATAGATGAGAGCATAGTAAAAGAGTTAAGTTTACCCACCCAGACTCTCCAAAAGCCAGTGATGGGCAGATGCTACAAGCGGGGTGGGTGTTGCATTGCATTAACCCTTTGCAGCTGATTACAAAATCACCCAAAGCTTTTACCACTCTGTGTGACTGCTTCCTGACCATGGAGGCACTGCGACAACCAGAACTTCAAGGACCAGTCGTACCACTCATTCAGTGCTGTTGCAAGTTTGAACAGTCACTGAATGAGTGGTCGTTAATCGAGGACCATCTGTACAACTCTGCCATGGCAATAGGATGGCTGGACATGGGGTACTGTTTAATATTCAGCATTTCATCTGACAGAGTCCAGGAGGCAAGCCTTCTCTGCAGCAGCCCCTGCCCTTTGGAACACTCTTCCCCCAG